ACTGCCTCTTCCACGGTCTACTTCTAAATTTCCATCGAGAAATACTCTACAATTGTTCAGTGAAGAACTGTCAATACGGGTACAGGAGTTAGCTTCGCCAGCTCTCTACTATCAATATACCACCGGTCATGGTTTGCTCAGTAAGGACTGGCGTCTATATGCCGAACAACGCCTCAAACGCTGGACAATTGCTGAGCTATACAAAATCCCCTCATCGAGACGCCCATTGAATCCTACAACATTTAACTCTCCATTTGGTTCGCTTCCATCCCACCATGAACTGCCCGCAAGTTGGGATTATGCAGATGACCAGATGGCGCAGTGGTACAGGCAGTGGGAAGAAGAAAGAAAATGATGTTGGTGGCTCCGTCAGTGTTCTAGGAAATACTAGACCTCTAAAGAGGCTCTTTCCAGCTAGGTGATAATCTATTAGCTACTAAGCTGGTAATTCAATTCTAGTAATTCAAGGTTGCAGGGTGCCTTGCCTGTGTCAATCACGTCCACGCGTGGGATATTCCTCTTACACTTGTTTGATATATATACTTGCCTGGACCATTAGCCCCACAAGTCTCAACGCAGTTCAGTCGAATAGCGGCCGTGCCACAAGCTTATCAAGAAGCGAACTATAAGATAAGGCGACCAACCGCGTACGGCTAGAAGAATAGCCTGAGGCGGGGTAGCATCAACAGTGCTCCTCACCCTCAATACCTTTTACACACAGATCTATCCTCAAGCGTCACAATGGCCTCTGCTAACCTAACTGAGGATTCCAATAAGAAAGATGCAAACGTCGATATCGCTGTGAATGGTGATGTCGCGTTCATTGTTGGTCCGAGTTGCAGACGGCTTAGGGTCTATTCGCTCGTTCTCACGAATGCCTCTACGGTTTTTAATGTCATGTTGGGCCCTCACTTCAAAGAGGGCCACCAGCTGGCACAAACCGGCTTAACCGAGATTGAGCTTCCCGAAGATAACGCAGAAGCTGTCGAAATCGTTTTTAACATCATCCATGGCCGCAACGATAGAGTTTCAGACACGCTTGACCCTGACAAGCTACTTCAGGTAGCTATCATCACCGACAAGTACGATTGTCTTGTTCCGCTCGCGTTTGCTATGAAGCTCTGGCTCAAATCCGTAAGCGCCGCCGACCCGGTACAGATGTGGGCTTTAGCTATGGTGGGAGTGATCTTACGCAGAGAAGAGACGTTTGCAGAGGCAGCATCTGCGCTCATACTAAATTCCTCCGAGACTTATCTTAGTCTGACAAACATGTATGGGGAATTGCCGGACCAAATAATACAGCTGAGAATTGCAGGTATGTCTATCCCGGTTCGGGGTTCACCGGGCTAGGTAACTAACCACATAAGGATATCTCTAGCAATGTTGGAGGATAGGCGCAGTAAACTGCGTATTAGATTGTTTGAGGATATGCTTGCCGGGGATTGGCACTGTAGCTGCCGTAACAAGAAAAGTGGACACAGACCAGACTGGCTCGCTGAATTCAGACGCCGGGTCGGCAGCCTTAACCAGAGACCAATCTCAAGCATTCTCGAATCGTTGCGTCAGGGGATTGAGACTACATCTGATGAATGGGGATACATGAACACAACTAGTATGAATCATATCTTCCAATCTATAGCGGATAGTTGCGAGAATCACCACATGAATGAGGGTGGCCTCTGCTTGTGGTGTGTAATGGTGGAAGGACCCCATGAAGGCCATAAATGAATGCGTCCAATAGAAATGAGGGTCTTGTCGCTGATCATAATTCTGTAAAATGTACGAGAGCTTTTCATACTTGAGTATATGGCGGCCTCAATAGTGTAGTATATTGTTTCGTGTTGCTCTATTTGAATTATCTTTAAATGGTAGTGATTCCGTCGCAAAGGCCACAAAGTATGCTCTCTGAGAATTACATACGTAATGGAGGGATAATAGTGGCGCGACAGCGTCTCAGGGTTCGTCAGAGACTCAGATATCAAGATAGAGTAATGGTAAAGTGGGGCATCGCGGATCAACGCTGATCCGGCATGCTTCGGCTGTTAGTGGGACACCGATATCCGGCTATTTCGACGCATTATCAACCTTCCAAATACCAGAGTCAACCACAATAAATATCAGGCCCTATGGACTTCCCGGCCTTGTAGACTGGCATCATTCATATATCAGCAAAAGCCTTTTCCAGAAAACCCGATCAGTACCACCAGCCAGCCCACATACGTGAGGGCAATAGCGTCGCATCCCCCAATCTAATGCCGCCCATTTCATAGTCAATCGATCAGAAGCCTCCGCATCAGCAGCTCTGTTCCCCCATTACAGACCAAGCTCCTTCTTAGCAGAATGATCGAGAAATAATCTAACCTTTTTGCATATATATCTTACATACTGCTGCCACCATACTGCTAGTGCAGCCCCCTACGAAGAAAGCGTCATTAGTTGTGAGCAGAGTTTCAACTAGCTAAGCAAACTAAGTCATTGAGGACATTTTGTCTTTCCATTGAATCATGCTTCCACTTGAAACCCCTAACCAGATAAGGTAGATATCACGGGGTCACATCTCTTAGTTATACAATCAAAAGTTGTATGACGCTTTGAAGTATAAGGAATTGCCACCACAGCTACTATATAAGTACCAAGTGTTATCCATAAGTAATTGGCAAATAATTTGATCTCTCAAGCCTCAATCGCATGAAAAAACATGAGCAGACTAGCAATGCACTTCGGGCTCCATGAAAGCGCCCAATATATTCCACCCAAAGATCTTGAACTTTACCCAGGTGATAAGTCGACCCAATCAATGGTTGGCTCAAGCTCCGCTAAAGACGGCCGACGTCTTGTTATACCTGCCGAAGCAGACCACAGCGATCCAGCCTCGTTTATCTCGTCCGGCACAGGCTGTATGATTGGGGATATGGTCGCAGACACGGATGGGCATCAAATTGTTGTTTCCACAACTGGTGAACAAGTGAAGGTGGACAGTTTGGTATCCGGCATAAGAGCAGTGCAGTTTGTAGGGTCTGTTTCAGATGAGTCTCTACAGTTGTACTTTCAGACGCGAGCAGGGAGGCTGTAACCATAGCCTTGTAATTTGACATAGTTAAGTAAAGCAAGGCAAATCTAATTGCCATATTTTGCCCACGTCATGGTAATAAGCACAGCGTATCTGTCATTCTACCGTATCTGACGGAAGCTTAGAGGCTGGAGTTTTTGCAAGCACGAAACCTGGGCCATGGCGATTGCCGAATTGTGACTGGGGGCTGGCCGATGGAGATTCATTTCCTGATGGTGTTGCCGAACGTTGTTTCTCCTGTTCCGAGTGACCGTTCTGGTGGATGGCAATGCTCTTAAAGTCTTGGGACATCTGTTGAAGAGAAGCTTCTCCAAAATGTCCGCCAGCCTGCTTTTGTCTCTTGCCAATGCCTCGGTTCTTTCCGTTGATCGGCTTGTTATTTGTTGAAACCAAAAACTGGATCGTGTCATCGCCTTCTGCGTGATTTTCGATATTGCTAATCTGTGACTCCACGTAGGTATCGACATCTGAGCAAAACGCTAGGCAGTGCCGCACCGTCTTGGCTTCATTCTGAAGTCTATCGAACGAGGCCCGGTCTTCTGCTGACGCCGTATTGAAGCCAGCGCCCAACCGCTCAGCGACGCTTTTCTGATGTTCCTCAAGGCGAGCCAGCGTGAAGCGCATGTGGTGCACACAACCTTGGAGCCCCTCGCCGAATAGCATCTCCGAGGTTGAGTCGGGATCCTGGCTGTTTTGAAATTCAGCCTGGATCTGTTCGATTTGTTCTGAAAGTACGGTGCAGAACTGGAGAGCCTTCTCCGTGCTCAGTCGTTCTTTCTCCATATAGCGACGGATGACCGCATCCGGGAAGGAGTCGGCAGTGACACGCGGAGAGAGAGCTTCGAGTTTCTGCAAGACATCTTCAAGGTGGGCCTCTAAATCGACAGTTGAGGTCGCAATCGAGTCTCTGCATGTCTGAATGGCTTCGGCACTAGCAGCGGATGCACGGCTAAACAAGGGGTGATATTGGTTAGCGAAGTCGATTAACCGATGAGGCTAAATACTTGCAGGTTTGCGAAGCTAAGCGCGACAGTTATAGTAGACTTATATCCGATGAGCTGCTGTCGGAAGCCTGCAATACCATCACCACCGCTGCATTTCAATTTAAGCCAATCGCGGAAGCTCGTGTGGTCAAGGCCAGATCGGGAACAGTAGGTAAGAAGCTCCGTCTTGACATTATCGCAAGCTTGCGCGCACTGCTCTAACGTGAGTTTCAAAGCACCAAGATCTACATCAAGGCCAAGGTCACCAGTTTCAGAAAGGGGTTTCAAGGCAAAACTCAGGCCAGATAGTTCTGTCAGTAGCTCGCGAACTTGGCTTGGTTGAGAGTGGAAAGACTGAATTTCAGCGCGTAGTTTGCTGGCGGACTTGAGAGCGAAGGCAGCCAGAGTTATAATACCCGACGCTACGCCGATTGATTCAGCCATTGGATGTTCCTTGGCGGCTACCTTGCAATAGTGAAAAGTAATTGAGGGATCATAGTTAGGAGGATGTAAGGCTCGCACCTGGATTTTTATTGTAGGTTAAGCGCCCTGAGGCACATTGCGGGGTCGATATACGCCCCACCCAAATTCAGGCAACCACTGAAGTTAAGCAATCTAGCGCCGAGAAATGTCTCGCCACTCTAGTTTTCAAGGATAATGTCCGGATATTAGCGGGCATAGTCGAGGCTTCGTTGGTTTTATTTTACATCACCTAGATGTTCACCGATCGAATCTCTTGCTCAAATACGATAGCTATGATAACCTAGGGACACAAAAATACAAAATCATCCTTTTATTCAAAAGTATCATCTCACTAGCTGTCTGACGGAATACATCGCCCGTGGCGAGCTCGCAGGTCAGTGACGAGTTATTGGTTTGATGGCTACTTAATAGCCGATGTTTGACCGCGGATTAAACGGGTGGCCCGTGCACAAAACTTTCATGGCGCATGGAGATCTAGCACCTGTTACTAATTTCATCTCAAGTTCAACATGGCCGACCCGCTGAGCGTTGCCGCCTCAATTATCGCATTAGTTACAGCCGTTATTCAGTCAACAAAATCTCTTAATACGGCCGTTAAGAGGTATATAGAACGCGATAAGACGCTGCGAAGGTTACAGGCTGAACTCAACAACTTGACTAAGGTCCTAGAAGCCCTTAATACAGTTTGCAATCTTAAGTTATCAGTTATATCCCTTTTAGAAGGACCTGTTAGTTGATATAGCTAACTATATTGCGAATTTGAGGCCACGATAAGTATATTTAGTAGGAAATCTCATACCAGTTTTCGGGATTAGGCAAAGATAGAGTTTATAAAAGGTAATATCCACAAGTTTATAGACACCCTAGGAGGGTATAAATTAATAATATCAGTAGGACTGGGTACTATCACGATATCAGTCTATTTCAGAACCTTAGGCCTCTTTTTACTTATAGAAAACTCTCTTATAGGTAAACCTCCAGACTATCCTACCAAGTTCTGGAGGAGTATAGCGAGGTTATTAAAGATACTACGTATAATCTCAAGATTCACCTAGAGCGCATTGATAAGAAAATAGGATTATTCACCGAAGGGAACCTAAAGACCTCTTATACTAACTTAGACCTGAATATAGATCTTCAGGATGAGAAAACAGTTACAGAATAATACCTTTATATATATAAGGATATGAGCTCTTATCTTGAATCTATAATAAACTAGGAACTGTTACTACAGCTACAGACTGATCTATATTATACTAATATAGATACCTATGATAGTTTTAAAGCCCTGTTGCTTACTTGTAAAGCTCTGAGCGATTATTGAGACCATTTTGTAGAGATAATAGGATATATGAATACGCACCTAGAGATCTTGGCAATAGGTAATAGCCCTGGAAGTAATAGGGAGAGGCTTCAACTGGAAAAGGATATAGAGGTTTCACAGCAATACCTTAAAGTATGTAAGGTAGCCTCTAGCTAAGTATCAACGCAAAAGATATATCGGATTGGAGAAGCAGTTGCTGATAGGGATAGTAATTAAATACTGGTTACTTTACTTACTGATTTGTTTGATGTTAAAAAAGCGCTATCCTAAGGTAAATCCGTATAATTACTTAGCTCGATATCTGATAAAATACTTCAAAAAGTATCTGAGCTACAGTATAGCAGCTGTTTTGGAAACAACTATATTGGTAGGGACCTCGATATAGCACAGCCGCTGCAACCTGAAAGCCAAAACATTTAAACCTCTCGTCTTCATGTTGGCAGGAGTAAACCTACTGCAGGGCAGGAAAGACCTACTTCTAATAAAGTTAGGAAACGAGCAGTAGGAGGGGAGTGCTGAGGACTTGTTGCTTGCCTCGTTATATACTGAGATTTAGAGAGATTGTTAATAGAGATGTTATACGACTCGGTGGTGTATTTTCTATAATGAGCATAGATGATTCCCGGGACATATAGCTTAGGAGGAAGCGCAGAAGACGGCGATTAGCGGAATTGATGGGAACACTTAATGCTGATCCTATCTCATTGTATCATACTGGCGGAACACCAAAACCAACACTCTCACCTTGGACCCGCGGTATTATAATCGGATAGCATCTGTCTTTTAGGGCGTTAGTCGGGACAACGCTCGAAAGGCTACACTATAAGATTTTGCCACGCCCATAGATGACTTATTTATTGTATCTTTAGGTGAACTAGAAGATTAGCCTCCCGCATATGATAATCGTAACTGTCCTATAATCCCAATCATGTATAGGGGCGGGACATTTTTGTATTCCAGCTCAAATTATGGGATTTACTAGGCAATGGGAAGTAACATAACCCTTATGCGTAGGAACTTGAAGTCTTATTCGCCCCACCACCCACCCGCGGTCGGAATCCGACCAGTCTAAGACCGGCATTCAGATATTAGGAGGCAACCAAGAAATGAACGGAACCACCAGGTCTAGGTTACTAGTTGTATATCTCGGGGTTAAAGTCTTTATATGTTGCATCCCGCCGCATCAGACGCGATCGAGGGGGACATTGAGTGAAGTATTTCTCGGTGTGGAAGGATGCCCCCATCGAGTCAATGGACTTCCTTCCACCACCTGGGTCCATCGACCGGATTACGTACTGCGATAACGTCTGCTTAGAACGCTAATGCACCTTGGCGTTAACTACTTAGCCCACCTATCTACATGTAGATAATGAGAGGCAAGCTCCACGCCCCAGGTGCTCTCATATACTCCTACAGAATCTCATTAAAACCAGTCAAAACTTGATATAGGCGCAGTTGAGCAGTGAAATATGGCGAAACTATAATTCATCAGACACCGAGCGCTACGCGCCCTCTGTTGATGGCGACAAAATAACCCCTCTGCCATGGCGACTAGAAAATCCCTCTTGAGCTTTGCCTTTCTTAATTTGTGGCATGGGAGTAGCCCGGTCAAGCGCCAGGTCAGGATCGTCATTTTGAGAAGAAACCCGTGCATTCTCCATGTCCAATCTAGTGATAGCATCAATTGTCCTCTGGTAGCTCTCATCCGATATTTGTCCACCGACGTGCCGTGAACGCCCTTTCAGAGTGAGGCGCCTCGCTGTCACAAGGTCTCCTACAGTCGATACAGAGAAATCATAGCTATCATCAGCCATAGTGATATCTTCGAAGACGTTCCGTCGCTGATCCATCAAAGTTTCGCTTGCGCCAGATACAATCTCGATACATTGACGCAAGCTATCCTTTGTCTGATGAAGCTGTGTAAGCTGACTTATGTTGTTCTCGGAATCGTGAGTGGATGAAATAAGAGCCGCAAGCTGCTTCTCTATATCGTTCTCGTGGATCTGCAATCGCGTCACCAGCGACTGAATCGACCCTTTTGCCGAGTTAAGACCTGATCTTATGAGCTTGTGTGCTGATGATCGATCGCTAAAACCAGGGGATTCCCTTGTTGTTGATCCAAATTGCTCAATCTGCAATGATAATTGAGCGCAAATGCTGAGACCCTGCTGGGTACTAGCCTTCTCCTCAAGTATAGCTTCCCACTCTGAGGCATCGGTCACTTTTCCTTTTGCCTCGTTATTGTTAAGCAGGAGCTGGAATTTCGCCTCGACGGTCCGCATATGTTCTTGTAGATCGTTAGATGTATCGGAGATCAAATCCTTGTAGTCTTCGAGGGCTTTAGGGGTTATGGCAGCAGCATGACTACAGTACGTTTAGTATATTTGCTTAGGGATGGCTTGGAATACAAATACTCACATATTTGCGTTTGCCAAAGCTATGTTGATGGTAGATTTATACCCAGCCAGCATAGCCCTAAAATCGTCTATATCTCCTTGAAGATATTTCTGCGTAATCCAGTCCCGGATACTAGGCCGGGAGCCTGTCGAGTGTTTTGTACATCGTGTAATAATGTCGCCGTACTCCTCGCAAGCCTTTCCACAGCGATGGAGGGGAGTTTTGAGAGCCGCAAAGTCAAGTTCAGGATGATTAGTCACAGTATCTAGTAGACACTCCAACACAGTAGTGAGGTCATTGAGCTCGCCTTTTAGCGCCCGGACATCTCTGTCTTGGCTCTGAAAGCTGCGGACAGTGCTATAAAGCACAACACTAGATTGCAAGGCAAAGGTTACGAGTGCAACCACACTGGAGGCAATACTTAGCGGGTCGCCCATGGTAAATAGTACATAGGTATAAGCTTATGAAGAGGACAGTTGATGTCACCAGTCGAGGCGGGGTACTGTATCCACGGACTTACGGTCATTACTTGAAACGAGCGCATTCTGAGCTTAGTCATGGACCAATTGCGTCACACATTATGTGGACCCTTCTAGTGAAGGAATTCCCGCGGCACGAAGAACCATGCTCTATTACAAATAAAAGGAGCTATTCTCCCTATTTCAAGAAGTTCGGTTTCCTCAAGGGAGATTGCTAGTCCACTGTAGATGGTGTATCATGTCTAAACTCAGCTTTAAACAATGCGCTGCTAGGACAATTGGAATGCTCACGGGCTAATTAATTTCCGATAACTAAGTCAGCTGGTTGTCCACGTGACTCCATGTTTTGTCACAGCTTGCGATCGGCTTATGACCGTGCGTTAACAACAAGAGTTTGCGCAATTCTGGTGTACCGGCAGAACGTAGATCCGAGGCCCTTCACAGCCCGCCCTTCAACAACCCCGCATCTCGGCCAATGTTCACGGTCCACCTTTACCCGTTTCCCATTCCTTCAAAGCTCTAGATCACTCCACTATGGAATGCCCTGTTTGTGATCGTACGTTCAGGACGGAAGGGAGCCTTAAGCAACACTGTCGAGACAGTCATCCGAAGACGTATTGTCTGCGATGCGAGCGTCCTTTCGCGAACCGCGAATCTCTCCGACAGCATATCTCCTCATCGTCAAACCATCACAGATGCGAACATTGTCCTCACAAACCTGATTTTGCGTCATCTACGGCACTAGAGAAGCATCAAGAAAACTCTCACGAGCTTTGCAAACCTTGCGATAGGTCCTTCGATACTCCAGAAAGCCTCGAACAACATGATATAGCTGTACATAATTTCTGCAAGGACTGCGGCAAATTTTTTGATACTGAAAATAATCTCCAAAATGTTTGCGATCCTATAAACGCTGGGGTTTGCAGATCATATATTGACTTCTATGCAGCATCAAAGGACACATGCCGCGAAACTCATTCTATGCCCAGGATGCTCGAGAAGCTTCGACATGGAGTCAGCGATGGTGTTACATCTTGAGGCTGGATCATGCTCATCGGGTACAACCGCCGATATCGTCGATGATCTTGCCCACCAGTGTTATCAGTCTGGCCGCTATCTTTCGAATGATGAGGAATACGACTTCAGTTGTCCTGACTGTGAAACCCTTTTCGTCTGGATGAGTGGGCTTCTGCAGCATGCGGAAAGTAACGCTTGCGAGGTTAGTCTTAGTAAGGACTCACCGTTGGGCAAGTTCATGCATTTCCTACGGCTCCGTGTTCAATCTTGAAAGGTTCACTACAAGTATACTAGAGTGGTCACGGTTAAGTGCGATCTTTCAGTGTCGAAGGTTACAGTGATATGCAACCACAAACCAGACACACATCCAATCCACACGCAAGGACAAGGAATAAAATCCTGAGGAAGATGGTTGGACGGGTGATTGCACTTTGTTTCACAGCAAGCCCCACATTCGTTAGTCTGGAGAGCTCAAACATGCCTCTAGAATACAAACTACTGTCTACATTTCTCTGCTAGTATACGACGACCTTAGTATAGTTCTGCTGGGACATTAATAAGCTTTTACCATTCGACGGCGTCTTGCTTTGCGCAGCCGCCTCTGTTCTACCTGATTTGACGTCCGTAGAGTGATGCCGTGCTGCTGCTGCACATGACTTCTGAAGTGGTCTAAATGTTGAAAGTCAATATGTCTACACTTTGGGTGCTCACACTTGATCGCTTGCCCCTGTTTCTCAGCTTGCTCGCGCCCGGCTAGATGCTGGTCATCGAAATGATCGTTCCTGACGGTCGGACGGCAATATGTAAAGGTGCGCTCTTCATGAGAGAGTCCCTCATCACCGATACAATCAGGACACTGCGCGGCACCCAGGAGAAGGGGGAATGGATCGGGACTAGGCGCAACTTCACCGTACCCCCCGGGCGACTCAACTTTGATAGGCGGTTCGGGGCTGGCCCTTAGCTGGACGCGATCTCGTTTGACCGTCTCTCTCTTGTCGCAGAGCGCTACCATCAAATCAATGGCCTCAATCCTACACTGAAGGGTCTGATCTTCATTCAGGTTATCGGGCTGGTAGCAGAGAATCTCTGCTAGCCGAGCCCGTGTTGGTATGATGATGTCGATAACCGGCTCCACATACTCCTCTTCCTCTTCACCCCGTGCTTGCATCTCAATATCCCAAGTGGGCCGGTGATAAAAGTAATGCTCACGGTATGCTTTGACAACCTCCTTTTGACGCTGCGCACGCTTCAAGCGGATTTCATTCGTAAGCTTGCGGATCCTCTTCTCGTCTTGATGGCCCTCGATCTGGTAGTTCCCCTCTCTGAGTGTGGCGCGTTGCTGTTCAAGCTTTTGGATGTTCGGATCTGGTGCTAAGCCCGCCCATACTTCCTTGGGTACCATGTCGGAAGTCGCTCGAGGGTCGCGTGTAAGGCTGACGTGTGCGAATAGCCGAAATAGCTGCGTCTCCTTCTCTTCCTCGAGAAACGCATTCTGGATATCAAAGTTGGCGATCTCATTGAGATAAGCGTGGTGGAATGTCACAAATTGAGGATTGTGGCGCATCATTTGGTCACGGACAGTGTCTGGTGTATCTCCTGGAACAATAAGTCTAGTCAGCACTGTCTATGAGCTCTGGCTACCCATTCTGGGTGAGCAACAAGCATTATACGTACCATTAGCTGCATTGGCAGCACCCCTCCGAGTGAACCTGGGCGTCCACCTTCTCTCGTGCCCCGAGTCGAGACTCTGTTGGCCGATATCATCTCTAAGCTTCGAATACAACATAGCGTCAGTGTGTGAGAGTGTGGCGCCATGGTACCAACGGAATACTGGAGTCTTCAGCTTAGAAGCCTTCCATCGGAGCGGAGTACATTCCTTGAACCGCGGTGGCTTCGACCTAAAGATGCTCTTTGCATCTGTCAAGCTTGCTGCATCAAAGGCATCATCATGTAGAGCAAGGGCGATAATGGTAGAGATAGCACAGAAGAGAATCTTTCTGGTAGGGGTGAAGTAGAAGATCGTCCTAACAAAGCTATCAGCACACACAAGGCTTGACTATTTGGGCCAAAGGACGGACAGACGCACGGCTTGGGTTTCTTATCAGCCCCTTTGTGATGAACGAACTTAACGGCCATAGCAGGCATACACCGTCCCGTGATCGGGTGCCGCACGATCAGCATCTGAACATCTTCATAGCAGAGAGCCTTTGGACGCCCACGCCCTACAGTCTCCTAAGAGAGAAGACTCTTGAGTTTAGAGCCTTTATCCAGGAGAGGGCTATTATCTTCGTCGATGTCGTCGGCGTCGGAAGGGAGCGACTGGACAAACTAGCTCCCAAAGAGCTTTTTAATGGAGCCGTCTTTTGGTTTCTTTCACTCGCCATCCACAAGCTCAGCAGGTCGTGCCCCGGTGTAGCACAATAGCTGATAACAGCCAGCCAGGTTGATGCGGTGCCGCTCACCGGGGAAAATGCTCGTATCGTATGCGATGTTGAACGTCAAAATAACACGTAGGTTGTCCACATTGAGGACCGGCTTGCCGTCGATATTGGGCGCTCGGTGGCCGAAACGAGGAGCCAAAACTTGGCGATAGTACTAGCCTGCGCCCATACAATTAAGAGTCCACCTACCTTGTATACTTCCTTAGCGTCATTCCGGCCCATGTACTGGCCAGTGACCGTTGTGTACAGCTGCTGAAACTGACGAATATACTCCTCGCCGGTGGTGATAATCACGTTCTCGCGTGGGAGATCCTCTTGCACTCGTTTGATATACTTGCCTGTAAACGGATAATTAACATTCTATTAAATCTGCTTTGAATCTGCTTTGAAGCAAGATAGTCACTCATCGCCGATGCAATCAGGACACAGTGTTGCCTGTATAGAAAGGGGGACTGGGTACAGCTTCGTTGTACGCCTCGGGCAACTCGACGTTGATGGGTGGTTTATATCTTCCAGTACAGCTCGTTCGTGACTATGTGTAACAGGAGCGCCATGCAAAGCTAACCCGTATTAATGTCCTTCTACTCCCCCGCCTTTCCGATAGACCATATGCGTATTGTTTCTTAGGTGATGGCTTGATTTGCGATCCTACTACCCCCGACAACTTCATTCTTCTCGCATTTCTGGTGCCTGCTTGGACTGGAGCTTGGCACATATAGACGCTGTAATACCACGTCATCACTGGTGCAACATGCTCCCACCCTGCTCCCCAGTCCGTTGGGCGAACTGCGAAGACCTCCAAAATGCGGTCGGTAATTCGGCGAGGCATATACATTTGTCCACCTTGATAGGTGATATCTTGAATTTGTTTTTCGGCCCATGAGAGTAGTGAAATTGCCTCATTAAACTTTTGTCCTTCTGCCTTTGAGCTTCCCATAAAAAGAGCAGCTGGAATAATCATCTCCTTCATCCTAATAGAGTCCAGTATCTGTATTGCTGATTTGAAAATTGGCAAAATGTTACAGTCCTTATAATAGATGACTGCTCCATAGATGAAGGGCAGGAATGAACGGATATGGTGCTTCTCAATGACTTGTAGAGTACTGATATGGCTATCCAGAAGTTCAGAAAAGCGCTTATTCAGTCGAAGAGCCCCGACATGGCTGTCTAGAAGTTTCTTCTCGATCGTCTTGCAGGTAAAAATCATCGACTGAATATCCCTCCCTTCCACATTTTCGACAACACTAAATAAAATCTCGTTCGGGATAGTGGTGACTGTAGGCATCGACATCTTCAGGCGAGTGGGAAGGAACTGATTTGGGCAAGGCTGAGGACAACGGGGAGGCCTTATATATTCATCGAAGGCAGCCGGTACGTGCTTACGTGGGCTGGATGGGGTCGGTTGGCAGAGACATCATCACTGGTGCGAGGGAAAAGATGAACATGCGGCAAGAAGGTGATTATATACATACATCAATACGAGGGGCTGTGCGTGCTTGGACTCCGCCACGCCTTGACCCCGCCACCTTGTAGGGGGGCCAATAGGTACACACCTAGGTGCACATGCAAGTGTCACGTGTTGCGCAATAGGTACGCGTGTAAGGAAGTTATACAAGCCCAACCCCCCTGTAATTCAGCCAGCTGGTCGCAAGTTTTGCCCGAATTGTTTCTAATTCAAGACGCAAGACGACGAGCTATTATGCAGATTCGTTCTCACGGTGACATAGTCATGCTATACTGAAAGGGCTTTGTTGTAGTATTTTGTTGCATCGTAGGCCTGCCTAGTAACTGGTGCTTTGTACGGCGCCCGAAGGGTGATGAACCATAGTCATCTTACCGAACCATCTTGTATCTAATAGCGCGTTCTGGGATTTTGAATCATCTTGGGGCGGGGACACGTACAGTACAACTGAATGACCACGGGCTAACTAAATTCCGAAAACTTAGTCAGCCGTCTCTTCTCCACGTAACCCCATATTGTGCCACAGGTTGCGATCGGCTTACGACCTTACGATAACGATAAGACAACCGGCATATATTACTGGCCATTTAAGAAAAGCCAAGGCCGCATATATGCTCTCGGTGCATCACAATCAGCCTTACTCGCTAGGTGGAGGGAAGGGGGAAAATATCGGTAGCTTCATTCAGTTAGCTAGCAGTGTAGAGCATGCATGCATCATCGTTTTGGCCTCTTCGGTATAATACACAACGATCTGGACGTCCTTTCATGCAGTAGCTATTAATCAAGATATTGTGATTAGTCTAATTGCTAAGCTTACTTCCTACGCTAATTTGAACAGTTGCCGCCCTTAGCCATGCGCCGCCGTCTCGCCTTTTTTTGCCGCCTTCGTTGCACTTGCTCTGATGATCGCAGGGTAACACCGTGGACTTTCTGCACATGACTTCGGAAGTGATTGACGTGCTTGAACTTAAGGTCTCGGCACTTGGGATGTTCGCATCGTATATTCTCGCCGCTCCGCTCGGCTTGCTCGCGTTTGACCAGATGCTGATCGTCGAAATGGTCGTTCATGACAGTTGGACGGCAATATGTGAAGGTGCGCTCCTCACAAGAGAGTCGCTCATCGCCGACACAATCAGGACACTGCGCAGCACCCAGGAGCAGGGGGAATAGATCAGGGCTGGACGGTAGTTCATGTTCTATCTCGAGAGGCTCAACCTTCACGGGGGGACAGGCTTTGGCTATTCGTTGGACATGGTTACGCTTGACCGTCTCTCTCTTGCCGCAGAGAGCTACCATTAGACCGACAGCCTCGATCTTGAGCTGAAAGATTTGATCTTCCGCCAAGTCGTCGGGTTGATGGCAGAAAATCTCGGCTAATCTTGCGCGTTCGGGAATCGTGACATTGATGATGGGCTCGATGTACTCTTCCTCCCTTTCCCCCCTGGCCTGTCTTTCAATATCCCAAGTAGGACGGTGATAAAAATAGTGTTCACGATATTGCTTCACTACTTGCTTGTCACGCTGCGCACGCCTCTTGCGAATTTTCTCTGTGAGCTGCCGGATCTTTTCTTCATTTGGATGGCCGTCAATCCGGTAGTTGCCTTGCTTGAGTTCTGCGCGCTGTTCTTCTAGCTCCACAATTTCTGGGTCCGGTGGCAGATTTGCCCACACATCCTCGGGAACCATGTCGGCGGTGGCTCGAGGGTCACGTGTCAGACTTACGTGAGCGAACAGCCGGAATAGTTGGCTCTGCTTTTCCTCCTCCAGGAATGCGTTTTGAAGGTCGAAGTTAGCAATTTCGTTGAGGTACGCATGATGAAATGTCGCGAATTGAGGATCATGACGCATCATCTGGTCACGGACTGAGTCTGTAGCATCACCTGAAAGAAAAGAGTCAGGTCAGCATCATTCTGAAGGTGACGAGGACGATAAGGATAGGGAAACCTACCGTTGGCAGCGTTGCCGGCACCTCTCCGAGCAAATCGGGGCGTCCATGGTTTCTCGTGTCCTGAGTCGAGGCTCTGGGCACTGATGTCGTCTCGGAGCTTGGAATATAGCATGGCCTCATAATCGGAGAGGGTCGCCCCACGATACCGACGGAAGACTGGGATCTTCAATTTGGATGCCTTCCAGCGGAGGGCAACGGCGTCTTTGAAGGATGGAGGTTTCGATCCAAATATTGCAGACGCGGTCGTCAAGCTCGGTGCATCGAAGGCGTTGTCATGGAGGGCAAGGGCGAGGATCGTAGAGACCGCACAGAAGAGAAGCTTCCTAGCGGGAGTGAAGAAGAAGATGGTCCTGTAAAAAAAGGCTGTTAGCACGTAATCACATGTATATAAAAGGACCACCTACGGCTTGGGCTTGTTATCGGCCCCCTTATGATAGATGAACTTGATGGCCATAGCCGGTATACACCGTCCGGTGACGGGATGCCGCACGATCATCATCAGAATGTCTTCGTAGCAGAGGGCCTTAGGACGACCGCGTCCCATAGTCTCGTGCGTGAGAAGGCCCTCAACTAGTTTGGCCCTCTCATCGGGAGACATCACAGAACTCTCACTGTTTTCTGAGGATGGCAATTGGCCAACCTTGTGGCCAAAGACTTCTTCCAAAGAGCCGTCCTTCGGCTTCTTCCGTTCGCCATCCACCAGCTCAGCAGGCCGTGCTCCGGTATAACACAAGAGCTGGTAGCAGCCGGCGAGGTTGATGCGATGCCGTTCGCCGGGGAAGATGGAGGTATCGAAAGCGATGTTGAACGTAAGAATGACACATAGGTTGTCCACGTTCAGCACCGGCTTCCCATCGATGTTCGGTGCGCGATGGCCGAAACGAGGGACACAAACGCGTCGATAATACTGACTGCGGATTAGCAAATCTAACAGGTCGACCGGTACTAGCACCCATGCCAATACGCGCCTGATAGGACAAGCTCTAACATACCTTATATACCTCCTTGGAATGATTCCGGTCCATGTATTGTCCATTAATATTTGTGTAGAGCTGCTGGAATTGGCGAATGTACTCCGCCATACTGCCCCATGATGTAATGTTATATCGTTCACACATGTGGAGGACGAAATCCTGCGTCGTTTCGCGTTTGAGGTTCTGGATCGTTGCCTTCCAGTCGCCCACTTTCAGATCGGTGCAGTACCTAAAGTAAGGGGAATGAGCAAACACAGCACTTGCGAGGAAACCAAGAGACAGCTTGCATACCTCACCCATTTTCTAAAAATGCCCGCAACGTTAATCTCAGTTTCATCAGAGTATTTGGGCTTGATGAAAACAACATCGGTCAACTGCGCTCGGTGCGCAGCATGCTCATCAATCGAGAATATTGGCTTTTGATTTGTCGCTCGCCTCTGGGCCTGCTGGACGGCAAAGTTTTGAAGAAACACAGCATTGCCTTCGTGTGGAGTGGACATCTGGTCGAGAGGGTAGATGGACAACGATTAACAACGATTCGTCTCGAGCGACGGTGGACAGGTAAGCAGAGTGCGTCGAGGGCAGAGGCGGGACTGCCACATATAAATTAAAGAGGCCATGGCAGCTCGACTGTCCTTCTTTTGGGCGGCAGGGGTGGGCTCGTGGTGTACGATGACAGAAATCGGAAAATGGACGCGCCTAATGACGAAATTAAAACTTTTTGTTGGTGATGGAAGGACCAAAAATGGGCCTGGCTGGGCAATGTCAGCCTGGGCAGGTAAACGGCGTCCGTGCAGGGGGGAGCTTTCTAAGTACACAGTACCTGTTCCTGCCTTCTTGTCACTGGATTCCCCACACTGCTTGTACCTGCTAAAATGGCGGCACTTTCCACCTGATTTGGCCGCTCGAGCAGCGCTTTCTCGATTTAATGAGTAATAGATATAAATAATATATATAAGAAAATAAAAAGTATATTCTATATATTATATAGTAAAATAGTATAGTTTATAATATAGATATATAGAGAGTTTATAGTTAAACTAATATTATTAAACTAGATTTTTAAGATATAAATATATAGAATAAATATCTATTATAATATACTAGATAATAGTAATATTAAATAATTAGATAATTATATAAGCTATAGAATAATTTAGTTCTAAATATTATAACTAATAGAAATATTATATATATTTATATAAAAGATAAAGAAGCTATTTAGAATATTAATACTAAATATAATAAATAAACTTCTAAAGATTAAATAGAAATAGTTTAAAAATAATTAATAGTATAATATAATAGATTACTTATTTTTATAGAATAAATATAATATATAATTATATATAGAGAATAACTAGATATTTAAATAATTTATATAGTTTATATTACTATAGAAGATATAAATTAATATAAATATTAATAATAATAAATATTTATTTAAATAAAATATTATTTATTAGTATATTAATATATTATTATAGTTCTAAAAATAGATATTTTTACTAATATATATATTATTAATATTAATATATATAATAAAGATTAATAAAATATAGATATAAAATATAACTAATAGTAAATTATAGAATATCTTTTATAACTAGAGTATATTATTCTTTATAATAGTATATTATAAGAATATTTAAATTAGTAATCATAATAAAATAATTTACTATTATATATTATATATAATTAATTCTCTATTAATATAATATATATAATTAGTTTTATTATTCTAATAGAAAGTATAAAATATTATTAAATAATATAGTAATAGATTTAGTATATTTCTCTAGATAGATAAAGTAATAAAGAGAATAATTAATATAAATAAATCTATATAAATAGTATTAAAATCTAAATTAATATAATTAATAGATTATATATAGTAGATTCTCTAATAGTATAATAAATAGTATATAGAAACTAAGCTTATAATTATTAGCTAGTAATATATTATTATTACTATTACTAATTACTATCTAAATAAAGCTTTTTATATAGAAAAAAATATTAAAAGAATAAAGAATAAGAAAAATAATAATATTAATAGTACTATATTAAACTATATACTAAATATATAAATAGAATATAAAAGTTATATTATTAGTATAATATATATAAAAGAGTTCTAATTATTAATATTTAGAATAATATAATAATAAATTAAATTCTAATAGATTAGCTAGTAATAATATTAATTCCTTAGGTTTAATATCTATAAAAGAGAATAAATAATAACTAGAGAGATAAAGTAGATATTAAAAATAATAGAACTATACTAGAAGAGTAATTAGTACTATTATTTCTATTAATTATAATAAGTATCTATATATAGATAGCTCTAGATAATACTAGAGCTAGATATAGTATTTTAGAGCTAATAGAAGATTTATTATATTATCTAGTTAGAGTATTATTATATTAGTATACTAGTAGAATATTATACTTTTATACTCTCTTCTTCTTTTAATATTAATAATACTAGGCTTAACTATTTATTCTATTATCTAGTCAGACTACTATTATACTAATATACTAATATAGTATTATACTTCTCTACTCTTTTATTTATATTGCTGCTATAGTATTATAGTTACTTATTCTTTTTTTTTCTTTTTTTTATATATATTAATATCTTAGTTAATTCTTTATAATTATAGAAGAAATAATTCTATTTAATAGCTATATTAATTAATTAATTTAATTATATAAATATCTATATTAGTAGGAATTAAAGCTCTTAACTAAAGATATTTTATAACAATTAGTAATATATATTAATATTTAGCTAAATTTAATTAATTATAAATACTAAATATATTTCTTTACTCTGTATATTTATATACTAATCTTATATACTTATTTTATATATACTCTCTCTCTACCTCTCTTATTATTATAGCCTTAACTAGTCTCTTATTTTTTTTATTAAAATATTTACTAGTTTAATATATTATATCTTTATTAACTTCTATCTAAAATTCTATTTTACTTTCTACTCTTAGTAGCTATCCCCCTCTATATATACTTTATAACTCTTAGAAAAACCTTAGTAGTAATATAACTATATTCTTTTTTAGTTAGATATATAATCTAACCCGGTTTCCTATATTAGATAAATAACTTATAAGGAGCTTTAATATTAAATCTCTAGTTTAAGTTTTTCTTCTACTCCTTCCCTATATAATACTATCTGAATATTCTATATTATATCCTGAAGAGTACTAATCCCTGGATCTACTACTAATCTATTTTAGCCTTAACCTCTTTATTTATAACTAGTAAATTATTAAATCAGAGTAAGAGAATTAATAGTTCTATTTTACTAGTAAAGTATACCCTTATATACTAGAGTAGATACTATAGAAGTCTAATATTTTCAGTAATAAAGATAGTAATAGTAAAGTATATAAGGTTCTAGTAGTTCTTATATATAACTTTAGATACTAAATATAAGTAAACTTATCTTTCTCTTTAGCTTAAGTTTAACTATTATACTTACTACTAATATAACTATTAGTATTAACTTATAAACTCTTTATAATAGTAGGGGTTTTTTTATTTATCTAATTAGTTATTTCTTTAATAGAGTAGGTTTTCAGAATAAATTAAATCTATCTAATTAAGAACTCTATTCTACTACTAGATAATATACAGCTGAGATACTATATATTTATCTAGTACTATATCTATATTACTCCAGATTAGCTATATAACAGGTTATAGGTAATCAGATATAATAGTCTTATAGAGAAAGAGGCTTTATTATAATACTAAAGCTTAGAGAAGTAAGTTCTTCTCTAAGGGTTTATTATAGAGTTTACCCCTTTTACTAAAGGAGTTTTATCTGATTTATAAGATAGTAATATAGTTATATAACTTTATTATTTATCTATTATAACTATTCTCTTCTTTAGAGGAACTATCCTCTAGTAACTATAAATAATAGTAATATTATCTACTATAAGGTTTAGAATACCCTATAATCTATATAATATTTACTTACTCTATATTTATATATATATAAATCCTAACTTTATTTACTTTTTAATATAAAATTCTAATAATTTCTTAATTTCTTTCTTCTTTTTATATATCTTTTCTAAAGTATTTTTAGTATTTTATAGCTTATTAAACTATCTTTTCTTTATATAAAACTTATCCTACTTATATATAATAGTATAATATTCTAAGTATAAGATTATTATTTATTCTTAATCTAATCTATTATTTAGCTCTTAATCTATTATCTTTTAATATAGAAAATAATTAATAGTTTATTCTATTATTAGTATAGATCTCTTAAACTAATAGAGTTTTAAATATAAATTATACTAGATTAGAATATAATTCTCTAGCTCTAGATTTAGCTTTTTAAGTAGATTTAAATATATATTTTCTAAATAAAATTACTATATCTATCTATAGTAATTATTATTAAGCCTCTTACTTTTCTATATTTTTAGCTATATTTACTTTTATTTTTAATTATATTTAATAAAGTTTATTCTTTCTAGATCTACTTTATTTTACTATTATATAATATTATTTAGATTTTACCTCTAGTATAACTTAGATCTAAGAAATATACTACTAGATTAATAATCTTTAGTAGAGGGATTATTATTCTAATACTACTTTAGATCTTAATTTTATATCTATTTCTTACTATTCTATTATATTCTCTTTATTTATAACTTCTACTATATAGATTATCCTTCTATCTGCTAAAACTATTAGTAACTAGTTATAGTATCTTTTTAGAACTTATTACCCTTTATAGTTATATAATAAAAGTATTATTAATATATCTCCCTCTCTATACTAATTTTTTACTTTTCTAATTATTAGTTAATTTTACTCTTTTTAGGATAATCTTAGATATAATTTAAGTATTTCTCCTTCTACTATAAAGATATAATCTTTTAATTTTTTATCTATTTAGTTCTAAGAGCTTAAACTATCTCTAGATTTAGATCTAGATTATAATTTCTCTTTCTTTTAGTTAGAAAGTAGTTATAATAACTAAGAATTTATTTTACTTTTAGACTTTATTAGTAATATTAATAGTAATAGTAGCTTACTAAATAATTCTTTTCTATTTTCTAATAGTAGTAATAGAGATTTATTTTATTATTATTTAGAATCCTTAGATTCTATTAATTCTATTATTTTTATTATATAGTAAGAGTATAAACTATTTTTCTTCTGGAATTATTAGTATTTTATCTATCTATAAAGTATAATTACTATTCTCTATATAATATATACTTATAGTAACTAGCTAAGTATATTAATATTTATTAACTACTTAAAAGAGATTACTATAAGGAGCTCTTATTATACTTACTATTACTATAGTAGGGAATCTTATTATTAAATAAGTATTTTAGTTTTATATAGGTTTTATTTAATTTTTATTAATATTTCAGAATAGCTTATTAAACTTATAAAGAATAATATTATTAATTTTAAGAATTATCTATAATTT